AAACAGCTTCTTCTGAAGAATTAAAAGGCATAAAATTATAATATTTGGCTGGTGACTTCCCGGGATAGAGCTCACCAAAGTTTGCAAATGAAAATGACCTCAACCTACTTTAGAGGTCACAGAGGTCAACAACATTTTAATGGATTTGTTCTTGAGAACTAAAAGGAATGGAATCATAAGATTTGGCTGGTAGCTTTTTGGAATAGAGCTAACCAATTTGAGAAGGAAAATGACATTGACCTACTTACAAGATCACAGGGAAAAGTATGTCAAGCAACTTCTGAAGAAGAATAAAAAAGCATAGAATCTTATAATAATTTTTTGCTGGTAGTTTCAACAGATGGAGCCAACAAAGTTTGCGAGGGAAATAGTTTTAGTGCAATATAATATTTAATGAGAATATTTTGCTATGACTGCTTAAATATTCAGGTGAGCGATACAGGCCCTCTTGGGCCTCTTGTTTAGTTTTAGCATATGGAATGATACTGCCATATATCTTAACATGTGTTGTTTAATGTTAATGTCTACAAGGGTCTTCTAGACAGTTTGATATTTGTTGTTGTGACAATGATGTTAAATCATTACGTTGAACTTTTATCATCACAAGTTCTGAAATATCAAAGAATTTTTTCCCTTTTAAACTGTAGTCTAAGTGTCTACCATTTGCCTCTTTAAGTCAGTGTCCTGGTGACCTTGACCTCTTTGAATCTCGAGGAACTTTTGACCTCAATATGCTCATCTCCTTCATGTTTCTGTACTTACAGTTGACAGGCGAGAAGGTCAGCAAGCTCAGTCTGGTGGACTTGGCTGGGAGTGAGAGAGTACAGAAAACCGGAGCCATGGGGGACAGATTACGGGAGGGTAGCAACATAAACAAGTAAGTCGTCATGACAACCAAGTTTTTCAGGTCACATGACCATGGCCAATGGTGATGATTTATGTATCAGATTATATACCTAATACTTCATAAAGACTGTTAGTGGTCCTGATTTTTTGTGTGTGTTAAAAAACACTTTTATTAAAGCTTTTCTATAATTTTAAATATTCAAACAAGATATGTACAATTGCCTTATATTTTCTTATCCTCTAAGTCTCCACAATTTGACCATTGTAGGTCACTTACCACACTAGGATTGGTCATCTCAGCACTCGCTGACCAGAACAAGGCAAAGAGCAAGTTTGTCCCCTACCGAGACTCAGTCCTAACATGGCTATTAAAGGTAGGTCTGAAACTAGTTTTTTTTTTACTGGTGATGTCCTACTGAAACTTTGCTGAAAGAATGTTGATATCCAAATGAAACGTACCTTACTTGCCCAGCTGAAACCTTGCTGATATAATGTTTAAATCATACTGAAAGCATACTGAAAGCATACTGAAATCATGTTGATATCCAAATGAAACCTTACTGAAATCATGCTAATATTTCAATGAAACCTTGCTGAAATCATGTTGGTATTTCAATGAAACCCTACTGAAATATCTTGGCCTAATTTGATTTTGATTGCCTAATTTGATTTGGATTGTTTGTGTTTTACGTCCTATTAACAGCTATGGTCATTAAAGGATGTGCCAGGTCTTGGCCTAATTTAATCAACAACTCACTTAAACCTCCCAGAACTAGCAGGTGGTGTAAGTGATGTAGAGTTATCTCCCTGTAAGTGATGTAGAGTTATCTCCCTGTAAGTGTTCATGCTATCTACTTTATGTTATGGGAGTTACCTCTCTTCATTTGAATTTTCCAACAAAACATTACAGCATGGCCATTTTTTTTCAGTTTTATCTTGACAATCATGAAATGGCTCAAATTTTTTACTTTCTTGTTAATATGTAACTTTTTTCTGATTTTAGGACAATTTAGGTGGAAACAGCAAAACTGTGATGATAGCTACTGTAAGTCCCTCAGCAGATAATTATGAGGAGACTTTATCAACGCTCAGATATGCTGACCGTGCCAAGCGAATCGTGAACCACGCTGTTGTAAATGAAGATCCCAATGCACGAATCATTCGTGAACTTCGTGAGGAGGTGACACAGCTCAAACAGAGGCTTACTGTGGCCCAGGTTCACCCGGTGTCTACAGAACAAGGGGAAGAGGAGGAGGAGGTAGGTCATAATCACCCAGTGTCAACCGGGGAACAGGAGGTAGGTCATAATCACCCAGTGTCAACAGGGGAACAGGAGATAGGTCAGATTCACTCAGTGTCAACAGGGGAACAGGAGGTAGGTCAAATTCACCCAGTGTCAACAGGGGAACTGGAGGTAGGTCATAATCACCCAGTGTCAACAGGGGAACAGGAGGTAGGTCATAATCACCCAGTGTCAACAGGGGAACAGGAGGTAGGTCATAATCACCCAGTGTCAACAGGGGAACAGGAGGTAGGTCATAATCACCCAGTGTCAACAGGGGAACAGGAGGTAGGTCATAATCACCCAGTGTCAACAGGGGAACAGGAGGTAGGTCATAATCACCCAGTGTCAACAGGGGAACAGGAGGTAGGTCATAATCACCCAGTGTCAACAGGGGAACAGGAGGTAGGTCATAATCACCCAGTGTCAACAGGGGAACAGGAGGTAGGTCATAATCACCCAGTGTCAACAGGGGAACAGGAGGTAGGTCATAATCACCCAGTGTCAACAGGGGAACAGGAGGTAGGTCATAATCACCCAGTGTCAACAGGGGAACAGGAGGTAGGTCATAATCACCCAGTGTCAACAGGGGAACAGGAGGTAGGTCATAATCACCCAGTGTCAACAGGGGAACAGGAGGTAGGTCAGATTCACCCAGTGTCAACAGGGGAACAGGAGGTAGGTCATAATCACCCAGTGTCAACAGGGGAACAGGAGGTAGGTCAGATTCACCCAGTGTCAACAGGGGAACAGGAGGTAGGTCATAATCACCCAGTGTCAACAGGGGAACAGGAGGTAGGTCAGATTCACCCAGTGTCAACAGGGGAACAGGAGGTAGGTCATAATCACCCAGTGTCAACAGGGGAACAGGAGGTAGGTCAGATTCACCCAGTGTCAACAGGGGAACAGGAGGTAGGTCATAATCACCCAGTGTCAACAGGGGAACAGGAGGTAGGTCAGATTCACCCAGTGTCAACAGGGGAACAGGAGGTAGGTCATAATCACCCAGTGTCAACAGGGGAACAGGAGGTAGGTCAGATTCACCCAGTGTCAACAGGGGAACAGGAGGTAGGTCATAATCACCCAGTGTCAACAGGGGAACAGGAGGTAGGTCAGATTCACCCAGTGTCAACAGGGGAACAGGAGGTAGGTCATAATCACCCAGTGTCAACAGGGGAACAGGAGGTAGGTCAGATTCACCCAGTGTCAACAGGGGAACAGGAGGTAGGTCATAATCACCCAGTGTCAACAGGGGAACAGGAGGTAGGTCAGATTCACCCAGTGTCAACAGGGGAACAGGAGGTAGGTCATAATCACCCAGTGTCAACAGGGGAACAGGAGGTAGGTCAGATTCACCCAGTGTCAACAGGGGAACAGGAGGTAGGTCATAATCACCCAGTGTCAACAGGGGAACAGGAGGTAGGTCAGATTCACCCAGTGTCAACAGGGGAACAGGAGGTAGGTCAGATTCACCCAGTGTCAACAGGGGGATCAGGATGAGGTAGGTCAGATTCACCCAGTGTCAACAGGGGATCAGGAGGTAGGTCATATTCACCCAGTGTCAACAGGGGGATCAGGACGAGGTAGGTCAGATTCACCCAGTGTCAACAGGGGAACAGGAGGTAGGTCATATTCACCCAGTGTCAACAGGGGAACAGGAGATAGGTCAGATTCACCCAGTGTCAACAGGGGGATCAGGATGAGGTAGGTCAGATTCACCCAGTGTCAACAGGGGATCAGGAGATAGGTCAGATTCACTCAGTGTCAACAGGGGAACAGGAGGTAGGTCAGATTCACCCAGTGTCAACAGGGGAACAGGAGTTAGGTCAGATTCATCCAGTGTCAATAGGGGATCAGGAGATAGGTCAGATTCACTCAGTGTCAACAGGGGATCAGGATGAGGTAGGTCAGATTCACTCAGTGTCAACAGGGGAACAGGAGTTAGGTCAGATTCATCCAGTGTCAATAGGGGAACAGGAGGTAGGTCAGATTCACCCAGTGTCAACAGGGGAACAGGAGGTAGGTTATAGTAGTTGTCTCTTTCGCAAACCAAGACAGGCATGGATCGGAATACAATTTGACAATTAAATCTAATTTCTTTTCATTAGTGTTAGAATTAATCATGAAATTTCTGACATATACAAATACTGTTGTGCTTTAAATTGGAAATTGTATTTAGTTTAATCTTGAAGATCTCTGCTAGATGGTCTTTCAGTCTTGAAAAAAATCTGACTGCATTGTCTTTGTCATGTATTATTAAGTTTAGTTTTAAAATCTTAAACTCAGTCATTGCTTCTGATATGAAGAGATTACTTAAAAATGACCTTGCACCACCAACAAACTGGAAACATTTTTCTACTGTTTATCAAAACTGTTGTAGATGGTAGATTTTAGAAAGAATTGATACACCTTATCACAATTAATATTTAAAGCATGTTGTTTTCATGTTGTTGCTCAGGCCATCAAGAATGATCCAGATCTCCGAGACCGGCTTGAGGAGACAGAGAAACTCTTCAAACAGAAGACTAAAACATGGGAGGAAAAGCTAGCTGAGACCGAGAGAATCCACCAGGTTTGTCACCTCTGTTGGGGAATATCTAGGGCTGGATAGAAAAGGGCATTATGGTTGGAAAATAGAGGACATGGTTGGGCTGGGAATTGATAAAAAGAGCCTATTCATTCAGGTAGAATATGGAATGGCAGGTACATAGGGGTTAAAGAGGACAAGAGCAGGTTCATCAGGAATGTGCACAGGAGTTAAAGAAGACAACAGCAGGTTCATCAAGGCCTGAAAAGGCAATGACAGGTACACAGGATTTAAAAAAGACAACAGCAGGTTCATAAGGGGTGGAAAGGGGAATGACAGGTACACAGGAGATAAAGAGGACTAGAGCAGGTTCATCAGGGCTGGAAAAGGCAATGACAGGTACATAGGGGTTAAAGAGGACAAGAGCAGGTTCATCAGGGGTGGAAAAGGCAATGACAGGTACATAGGAGCAAAGAGGACAAGAACAGATTCATCAGGGGTGGAAAATGCAATGACAGGTACATAGGGTCAAAGAGGACAAGAGCATGTTCATCAGGGATGGAAAAGGCAATGACAGGTACATAGGAGCAAAGAGGACAAGAACAGATTCATCAGGGGTGGAAAAGGCAATGACAGGTACATAGGGGCAAAGAGGACAAGAACAGATTCATCAGGGGTGGAAAAGGCAATGACAGGTACATAGGGGCAAAGAGGACAAGAACAGATTCATCAGGGGTGGAAAAGGCAATGACAGGTACATAGGGGCAAAGAGGACAAGAACAGATTCATCAGGGGTGGAAAAGGCAATGACAGGTACATAGGGGCAAAGAGGACAAGAACAGATTCATCAGGGGTGGAAAAGGCAATGACAGGTACATAGGGGCAAAGAGGACAAGAACAGATTCATCAGGGGTGGAAAAGGCAATGACAGGTACATAGGGGCAAAGAGGACAAGAACAGATTCATCAGGGGTGGAAAAGGCAATGACAGGTACATAGGGGCAAAGAGGACAAGAACAGATTCATCAGGGGTGGAAAAGGCAATGACAGGTACATAGGGGCAAAGAGGACAAGAACAGATTCATCAGGGGTGGAAAAGGCAATGACAGGTACATAGGGGCAAAGAGGACAAGAACAGATTCATCAGGGGTGGAAAAGGCAATGACAGGTACATAGGGGCAAAGAGGACAAGAACAGATTCATCAGGGGTGGAAAAGGCAATGACAGGTACATAGGGGCAAAGAGGACAAGAACAGATTCATCAGGGGTGGAAAAGGCAATGACAGGTACATAGGGGCAAAGAGGACAAGAACAGATTCATCAGGGGTGGAAAAGGCAATGACAGGTACATAGGGGCAAAGAGGACAAGAACAGATTCATCAGGGGTGGAAAAGGCAATGACAGGTACATAGGGGCAAAGAGGACAAGAACAGATTCATCAGGGGTGGAAAAGGCAATGACAGGTACATAGGGGCAAAGAGGACAAGAACAGATTCATCAGGGGTGGAAAAGGCAATGACAGGTACATAGGGGCAAAGAGGACAAGAACAGATTCATCAGGGGTGGAAAAGGCAATGACAGGTACATAGGGGCAAAGAGGACAAGAACAGATTCATCAGGGGTGGAAAAGGCAATGACAGGTACATAGGGGCAAAGAGGACAAGAACAGATTCATCAGGGGTGGAAAAGGCAATGACAGGTACATAGGGGCAAAGAGGACAAGAACAGATTCATCAGGGGTGGAAAAGGCAATGACAGGTACATAGGGGCAAAGAGGACAAGAACAGATTCATCAGGGGTGGAAAAGGCAATGACAGGTACATAGGGGCAAAGAGGACAAGAACAGATTCATCAGGGGTGGAAAAGGCAATGACAGGTACATAGGGGCAAAGAGGACAAGAACAGATTCATCAGGGGTGGAAAAGGCAATGACAGGTACATAGGGGCAAAGAGGACAAGAACAGATTCATCAGGGGTGGAAAAGGCAATGACAGGTACATAGGGGCAAAGAGGACAAGAACAGATTCATCAGGGGTGGAAAAGGCAATGACAGGTACATAGGGGCAAAGAGGACAAGAACAGATTCATCAGGGGTGGAAAAGGCAATGACAGGTACATAGGGGCAAAGAGGACAAGAACAGATTCATCAGGGGTGGAAAAGGCAATGACAGGTACATAGGGGCAAAGAGGACAAGAACAGATTCATCAGGGGTGGAAAAGGCAATGACAGGTACATAGGGGCAAAGAGGACAAGAACAGATTCATCAGGGGTGGAAAAGGCAATGACAGGTACATAGGGGCAAAGAGGACAAGAACAGATTCATCAGGGGTGGAAAAGGCAATGACAGGTACATAGGGGCAAAGAGGACAAGAACAGATTCATCAGGGGTGGAAAAGGCAATGACAGGTACATAGGGGCAAAGAGGACAAGAACAGATTCATCAGGGGTGGAAAAGGCAATGACAGGTACATAGGGGCAAAGAGGACAAGAACAGATTCATCAGGGGTGGAAAAGGCAATGACAGGTACATAGGGGCAAAGAGGACAAGAACAGATTCATCAGGGGTGGAAAAGGCAATGACAGGTACATAGGGGCAAAGAGGACAAGAACAGATTCATCAGGGGTGGAAAAGGCAATGACAGGTACATAGGGGCAAAGAGGACAAGAACAGATTCATCAGGGGTGGAAAAGGCAATGACAGGTACATAGGGGCAAAGAGGACAAGAACAGATTCATCAGGGGTGGAAAAGGCAATGACAGGTACATAGGGGCAAAGAGGACAAGAACAGATTCATCAGGGGTGGAAAAGGCAATGACAGGTACATAGGGGCAAAGAGGACAAGAACAGATTCATCAGGGGTGGAAAAGGCAATGACAGGTACATAGGGGCAAAGAGGACAAGAACAGATTCATCAGGGGTGGAAAAGGCAATGACAGGTACATAGGGGCAAAGAGGACAAGAACAGATTCATCAGGGGTGGAAAAGGCAATGACAGGTACATAGGGGCAAAGAGGACAAGAACAGATTCATCAGGGGTGGAAAAGGCAATGACAGGTACATAGGGGCAAAGAGGACAAGAACAGATTCATCAGGGGTGGAAAAGGCAATGACAGGTACATAGGGGCAAAGAGGACAAGAACAGATTCATCAGGGGTGGAAAAGGCAATGACAGGTACATAGGGGCAAAGAGGACAAGAACAGATTCATCAGGGGTGGAAAAGGCAATGACAGGTACATAGGGGCAAAGAGGACAAGAACAGATTCATCAGGGGTGGAAAAGGCAATGACAGGTACATAGGGGCAAAGAGGACAAGAACAGATTCATCAGGGGTGGAAAAGGCAATGACAGGTACATAGGGGCAAAGAGGACAAGAACAGATTCATCAGGGGTGGAAAAGGCAATGACAGGTACATAGGGGCAAAGAGGACAAGAACAGATTCATCAGGGGTGGAAAAGGCAATGACAGGTACATAGGGGCAAAGAGGACAAGAACAGATTCATCAGGGGTGGAAAAGGCAATGACAGGTACATAGGGGCAAAGAGGACAAGAACAGATTCATCAGGGGTGGAAAAGGCAATGACAGGTACATAGGGGCAAAGAGGACAAGAACAGATTCATCAGGGGTGGAAAAGGCAATGACAGGTACATAGGGGCAAAGAGGACAAGAACAGATTCATCAGGGGTGGAAAAGGCAATGACAGGTACATAGGGGCAAAGAGGACAAGAACAGATTCATCAGGGGTGGAAAGGGCAATGACAGGTACATAGGGGCAAAGAGGACAAGAACATATTTATCAGGGGTGGAAAAGGCAATGACAGGTACATAGGGGCAAAAAGGACAAGTACAGATTCATCAGGGGTGGAAAATGTAATGACAGGTACATAGGGGCAAAAAGGACAAGTACAGATTCATCAGAGGTGGAAAATGCAATGGCAGGTACATAGGGGTTAAAAAGGCAATGACAGGTACATAGTGGGCAAAGAGGACAAGAACAGGTTTATCAGGGGTAGGGAAGGCAATGACAGGAACATAGGGGCAAAGAGGACAAGAACAGATTCATCAGGGGTGGAAAGGGCAATGACAGGTACATAGGGGCAAAGAGGACAAGAACAGGTTCATCAGAGGGGGAAAAGGCAATGACAGGTACATAGGGACAAAGAGGACAAGAACAGATTCATCAGGGGTGGAAAAGGCAATGGCAGATACATATGGGCACAGAGGACAAGAACAGGTTCATCAGAGGTGGAAAAGGCAATGACAGGTACATAGGGGTTAAAAAGGCAATGACATGTACATAGGGGGCAAAGAGAACAAGAACAGGTTCATCAGGGGTGGAAAAGGCAATGGCAGGTACATAGGGGCAAAGAGGACAAGAACAGATTCATAAGGGGTGGAAAAGACAAATTGACAGGTACATAGGGGTTAAAAAGGACAAGAGCAGATTGCTCAGGGGTGGAAAACGCAATGACAGGTACATAGGGGTTAAAAAGGACAAGAGCAGGTTCATCAGGGGTAGGAAAGAACAGTTTCATAAGGAATGGAAAGCAAAGGGCAGGTTCATAGGAGTAGGAAAGAGAAAGACAGGTCTATTTGGGTCATAAAGGATTTGGGTCATAAAGGGAAGGCCATTTTTCTTGTAAACTGATCAAAATGAAAAATATTTCTGTAGGATATAATTTATTGAAAATTTTAGGTAACTGGTTGGTTGAGATACTTAAATGTGTGCACAATGTAGGAAACTGTTCGGTCGGCTTGTTGATGTCTTTTATTTTGGTAGCGCTAGTTCCAGATAACAGGAAAAGAACAGTGTCTAAAATAAAGGGGAAAATAAATGATTTCATCATCACATAAGATATTCATGGGCACTACTAAGAACAAAGTGTATAAATAACACTTCCAATGCATAGACTACACAATCAATGTCTCCACCACTGTAAATTAAAAACTGCCAAAGCAATTTATTCTGCTTGAACGTATTCGGGTTTGAGGTTTCCCAATTCCTCAAGCAAATTAGAACAGTATAGTTCCCGTTTCTTCATTGAAAAAGCTAGACTGTCATGAAGTTTTCTCATTAGGATGAAACTAGAAATAGAGGGATATTCTGAGAATGGGGAAAGGTATACCAGCATGATAGACATTCGGAGCTGGCTGGTATTCAGTAACCACGTAATTATAATCTACAGAGTGCTGTATAGGAAAACAAATGATGATTTTTAGAATGTACCTACGTTATTTTGAAAACAATTTATTTTAATGATTGAGTATTTCTTGAACTTTTTTTAAAAATTAAATTGTGTGTCTGAAGAACTATTTGTGAGATTTTAAAAGATGTATTACTGTTGAGGGGTTGAAACATAAAGCTTGCTGAGTTAGATGTCCTATATTTGGCTTGAATGAAAGCCTATTAGGCCTACATTGACCGTTTTTCAAGGTCACAGGGGTCAAATGTGTAAAAAATTCAAAGACTTCTAAATGTTCATAAGGCCTAGGGTGGTGATATTTGGCTTGTAACTTGCTAGGATAACAGACAATCTTAAAGTTGTTCAAAGAAATTGGTTGACCCACCATGAAGGTCACAAGAGTAAAATAAGTTTGACCTTGACCCACTTTGAACATTAAATAAGAATCGAGTTGGCCAACAGCACTCAATAATAGTTGGGAATTTCAGGCCTTAGGCATTAGGTCTCTTGTAAATATTTTGTGTCTATCACGTGAGTAAAATTATTCTTTCCATATCCTTAGACCATCAGGATTGAATTTTCAAACATCATCCAGTGAAATCAGTTTGAAATCATTAAATGATTATAAAAGAGGTTTAAGATATCTTCACAACATACTTAACACTTCAAGGTATTTTGTTTTGTTTTAAATTAGTTCATTTTACCACTGCAACTTTTAAAACATCCAGAGGAAAAACATAACCTTCCGTTTTATTTCCCAATTTATTCAGTATTTTCCTGAAAACATCAGAGGTGGTCTTTGAATTAAATTTACAATCAGAAACAAAAACAGGCAATTAAAAACTTCTCTTTCCAATCACCATGGTTGTTAAGAAGATGGTCATTTGACCTGTTAGCTGTCATAGCTGTAGTCTAATCGCCGTGCTCAATTCAATATTCAAACTTGTTAATTATATTATGGTATATATATTGAGGCTGTGTGGGAGGCACAGTGATTATCAGCAGACTCTCCCAGTCAGGTGTCACTTAACCCACTCTAACTCTCTAATTCATTTAGGTTCTCTGTTTAATTGCCTTTAAAACATTGCTATAAGCCAAACCCTTTTTTCAAAGTTTAACTTGCTTAACAGCACACAAACGAATGTATTTCACTTTAAAATCCACAGATCAGTTCAAAACCTTTTCCAATATTTAAAACATAAATTATATCTGCAGTCATCAAAAAGATAATTGATATGGAACAATCTTCAGCAAGGTAGCTGCTCTTTTATGGAAAATCCTAAATCCACTGTAATCTGTTTTATAGTATTTTTTTTCTTTCCTTGACCTCCGAAGTTTCGTGTCATTGTTTTTCCTAAAACTCCTACTCTCAAAATATTTTACCTGTAATCAACTGAAGCAATATTTCACCTGTATCCACTCTTGACAATATTCTACCTGTAATCAACTGTAGCAATATTTTACCTGTAATCTACTCTGACAATATTTTACCTGGAACCCACTCAAAGAATATTATGTTTGCCTGTTAATCCACTCTCACAATGTTTGTTGTCCGATCCTAGGAGCGTCATGAAGCCCTGGAGAAGATGGGCGTGTCCGTCCAGACGTCCGGGATCAAGGTGGAGACGGGGACACATTACCTGGTGAACCTGAATGCTGACCCGTCTATGAATGAGCTGCTGGTCTACTATCTCAAGGTAGGAACAGTCTCTATGTATCTTAGTAGTGTGTCATACTGTATACCAGGCCGTGTAAGCTGACCCGTCTATGAATGAGCTGCTGGTCTACTATCTCAAGGTAGGAACAGTCTCTATGTATCTTAGTAGTGTGTCATACTGTATACCAGGCCGTGTAAGCTGACCCGTCTATGAATGAGCTGCTGGTCTACTATCTCAAGGTAGGAACAGTCTCTATGTATCTTAGTAGTGTGTCATACTGTATACCAGGCCGTGTAAGCTGACCCGTCTATGAATGAGCTGCTGGTCTACTATCTCAAGGTAGGAACAGTCTCTATGTATCTTAGTAGTGTGTCATACTGTATACCAGGCCGTGTAAGCTGACCCGTCTATGAATGAGCTGCTGGTCTACTATCTCAAGGTAGGAACAGTCTCTATGTATCTTAGTAGTGTGTCATACTGTATACCAGGCCGTGTAAGCTGACCCGTCTATGAATGAGCTGCTGGTCTACTATCTCAAGGTAGGAACAGTCTCTATGTATCTTAGTAGTGTGTCATACTGTATACCAGGCCGTGTAAGCTGACCCGTCTATGAATGAGCTGCTGGTCTACTATCTCAAGGTAGGAACAGTCTCTATGTATCTTAGTAGTGTGTCATACTGTATACCAGGCCGTGTAAGCTGACCCGTCTATGAATGAGCTGCTGGTCTACTATCTCAAGGTAGGAACAGTCTCTATGTATCTTAGTAGTGTGTCATACTGTATACCAGGCCGTGTAAGCTGACCCGTCTATGAATGAGCTGCTGGTCTACTATCTCAAGGTAGGAACAGTCTCTATGTATCTTAGTAGTGTGTCATACTGTATACCAGGCCGTGTAAGCTGACCCGTCTATGAATGAGCTGCTGGTCTACTATCTCAAGGTAGGAACAGTCTCTATGTATCTTAGTAGTGTGTCATACTGTATACCAGGCCGTGTAAGCTGACCCGTCTATGAATGAGCTGCTGGTCTACTATCTCAAGGTAGGAACAGTCTCTATGTATCTTAGTAGTGTGTCATACTGTATACCAGGCCGTGTAAGCTGACCCGTCTATGAATGAGCTGCTGGTCTACTATCTCAAGGTAGGAACAGTCTCTATGTATCTTAGTAGTGTGTCATACTGTATACCAGGCCGTGTAAGCTGACCCGTCTATGAATGAGCTGCTGGTCTACTATCTCAAGGTAGGAACAGTCTCTATGTATCTTAGTAGTGTGTCATACTGTATACCAGGCCGTGTAAGCTGACCCGTCTATGAATGAGCTGCTGGTCTACTATCTCAAGGTAGGAACAGTCTCTATGTATCTTAGTAGTGTGTCATACTGTATACCAGGCCGTGTAAGCTGACCCGTCTATGAATGAGCTGCTGGTCTACTATCTCAAGGTAGGAACAGTCTCTATGTATCTTAGTAGTGTGTCATACTGTATACCAGGCCGTGTAAGCTGACCCGTCTATGAATGAGCTGCTGGTCTACTATCTCAAGGTAGGAACAGTCTCTATGTATCTTAGTAGTGTGTCATACTGTATACCAGGCCGTGTAAGCTGACCCGTCTATGAATGAGCTGCTGGTCTACTATCTCAAGGTAGGAACAGTCTCTATGTATCTTAGTAGTGTGTCATACTGTATACCAGGCCGTGTAAGCTGACCCGTCTATGAATGAGCTGCTGGTCTACTATCTCAAGGTAGGAACAGTCTCTATGTATCTTAGTAGTGTGTCATACTGTATACCAGGCCGTGTAAGCTGACCCGTCTATGAATGAGCTGCTGGTCTACTATCTCAAGGTAGGAACAGTCTCTATGTATCTTAGTAGTGTGTCATACTGTATACCAGGCCGTGTAAGCTGACCCGTCTATGAATGAGCTGCTGGTCTACTATCTCAAGGTAGGAACAGTCTCTATGTATCTTAGTAGTGTGTCATACTGTATACCAGGCTGCAGTGTAAGAATCGGCTTCACTTTTGCCCTTTTCACTTTTGAATGTCAGAGTGAAATATTGATCCAGCCAAAGATACTTAAAAGAATATGGCTAACAGTTTGCTTGTAAAAATGTCAACTGAATGTTTAGGGCAAAATTAACATTGAGCGATCCTGGATTTTACACTTGAAGGGGAAACATCAACCTGGTAAAGAGTATTTTCCACCTTTGTAACTTTCTTTAGCTAGGTAGACAGGTGTACACTGCCGAAGACATGTTACACCCAACCTAGAGTGTATCAAAACTTAAAAATCACTTCCTCCTTTACTTTTCATTTCAGTGCTGCAATATTTTCATAATTTCATAACTTTGATCATTTCTTACAGGAAATCTTGTTTCATTATATTGCCACAGAAAACCAATTTAAGGATATATGGTACCTTACTCTGACACATTCTTCTCTATTCCAAAAGAGTTTCATACCAACAAACTTCTGAAAATAGTTTGGACTTAGACAATTAATCGATAACAAATCTGATGAGTACGCAAAAATTGATAACACATATGAAAAGTACACAAGAAATTATGTTTTTTTAGATGCTGAATGATGTTATAGTTTCTAAATATGTACATCAGAATCTTGAGACAGCATACTATTGTCAGGAGGGAGCGATGCTCACTGGACTGTCCATGTTCAGTATACTGTTGTTCTCACAATTGGTCTCATATATGATGTAGCTGCAAGGTCAGTAAATAAAGAAGTATTTTTGAATATTAAGGTGTGATGTCTGCTTGTGCAGATGTTGCTGTGTAACTAAATAGGTGTTGTGGTTTACATATATATTTAGGCTTTTCCCTTTGCAGGTATTAAAATCTTTTTTCCATACAGGGTTTTCCCATCCAAAATGATGCCTATCTGAAGCATTACAGGACTTCCGTGCTGGTTATGTGACAAAAATAGCATTGCATGATGAACATTTCTAATAACTTCAGGATATTTTTCATGAATTGAAGAAAATATATTCCAAAGAGTTGCATGATCAAAACAATATTCAACTCTGCTATAATCTGATAAAATATCTAATGAAATAGATGATGAACTTGAGAGTGGATGATGGATATAATAAATAGGTTGTGTGCCCGCAGGCACTGAGAGTGGATACAGCTGATACGTAATTACGTTGTGTGCCCTAGCTGTTACGGAAGGAGCTGATGACCTATATGGATTTGTGACATGCCACAATGAACTAAATATCAATTAAATAAATGCACTACAGTGTTATTTCATTGGTAAATCTACAGGTGAGTCACATTACAAAGTGACTAGCTGTGGGTTAACTATCTCAGGATGTTAATGTGACTCAACCTTGTGATGCTGAGAAAGGATTTCTTCTAATTTTGTTCAACGTTTCCGTAACTACAGCAATATCGTTGTATTCTATAAAAAGAATGCTGTATTTTGATAAATTACCTTATCAGCATTAGGTAACTGGTAATCGCCTTATTCACCCAGGTAAGTGTCTGTACAGTTTGACTTAATTACGTAGCGTACTGCCGTTTACTACCCTGTGAGTAGAAACCTTCCTGGTCCAATGTAGGCCCTGACCTACAACCTCAGCTGGTGTATAGCATTTAATGTCAGGGAGCTCTTATTTGGTAACATGTATAATACCATTAAAATGATAAAGAAAATTTTGATGCATAAAATGTATTAGGCCACAGCTAAACACTATTTAAATTGGTGTAGCTAGGTCACATTTCTGATTAGAGGTCATTTTCAAAATTGACTGGTTTAGTCAAATTGGGTTGTTTATAATGGAAAATCAATCATGATTTATTGTGATTGATTATAATTTTACAAATATTACATTTTTACCATCGTAAAAATGAGAAAACCAATCTGCCTCTCCAATAACACAACATTCAATCTTAGCAAATCAAGCCAATGCTGAAAGTTTAACATAAGAATGAATCTGATTGGCTTAATTTTATTATAAACCAATTGTAATACAAATATTCCTGTATCCTAGTAACACATTGCCACAAATATCTTTTGTGTTTATTGATGATTGCTCAGTGATCAGCTTAACCTGGACATATCCAAAGCTGTGTGCTGTAAATGGCACAGATCTTACAAGTGTAAAGGACGCTTTTAGATTTAAAACCAGCCCTGCCTGGCTAGTTGTTCAGGACTGTCCAATTCCTGAGAGGCACTGGTTCACAACGCCATGCTTCCCAAGGCTCTTTTATTTTGAATATGCAGAAGATTTGAATGCATTATCCCAGCAACTTGAATTATAAAATAATTGTGCCACCTTGTCAGTGTAAGTGGTCTGTCCCCATTGTGCCACCTTGTCAGTGTAAGTGTCCTGTCCCCATTGTGCCACCTTGTCAGTGTAAGTGGTCTGTCCCCATTGTGCCACCTTGTCAGTGTAAGTGGTCTGTCCCCATTGTGCCACCTTGTCAGTGTAAGTGGTCTGTCCCCATTGTGCCACCTTGTCAGTGTAAGTGGTCTGTCCCCATTGTGCCACCTTGTCAGTGTAAGTGGTCTGTCCCCATTGTGCCACCTTGTCAGTGTAAGTGGTCTGTCCCCATTGTGCCACCTTGTCAGTGTAAGTGGTCTGTCCCCATTGTGCCACCTTGTCAGTGTAAGTGGTCTGTCCCCATTGTGCCACCTTGTCAGTGTAAGTGGTCTGTCCCCATTGTGCCACCTTGTCAGTGTAAGTGGTCTGTCCCCATTGTGCCACCTTGTCAGTGTAAGTGGTCTGTCCCCATTGTGCCACCTTGTCAGTGTAAGTGGTCTGTCCCCATTGTGCCACCTTGTCAGTGTAAGTGGTCTGTCCCCATTGTGCCACCTTGTCAGTGTAAGTGGTCTGTCCCCATTGTGCCACCTTGTCAGTGTAAGTGGTCTGTCCCCATTGTGCCACCTTGTCAGTGTAAGTGGTCTGTCCCCATTGTGCCACCTTGTCAGTGTAAGTGGTCTGTCCCCATTGTGCCACCTTGTCAGTGTAAGTGGTCTGTCCCCATTGTGCCACCTTGTCAGTGTAAGTGGTCTGTCCCCATTGTG